AAACACTTTAGACATTATCACTTAAAACGGCTGAACTCGTAACAAACTTCTTGTGTTAAAACATTGAGGTTTGCATTAAAAGAAGTTGAATAATAAGTGTTTCTCCACACTTTTTCTCTGTTAAGTTCATTTAAGCAGGCCATTGTCTATGCCTGCTTATGCCTGCAGCTGGGCGGGATCTCAGGAACCATCTCTGGTGAACATTGGTAAGAGGAAGGGTGCACCCTTATACCCCGTTTACAATACCCTTGAAAACCCGATCCATGCCGAGACCGGTCCGAGCTCGGATCACTTAACCAGGCCGAGCTTGGTTCTGACGACCGTTTACACATCACACTATCTCGGTTCCTCGACTCCTCGCCTCCTAGTGACGATCTGTGGTATTACTGCCAGTTTTGAAGGAGGAAATCAAGCAGTTGGTGGCGGTAATGCACCAAAAGTTGTTTGTCAACCGCCATAAAACATAAGAAGAAGACAAAGAAGAAGGAAATCAAGCAAATCAAAAATTGCGGCACCCGTTTGTGTTGGTTGGAAGCAACTTCCGGAGGGGCATTACCGCCAACTACTGGAATGGAGTGTGAATCGGGATGTGCAGCCAGACGGAGATGACGCATTCTGCTCATGCGCTCTTGTTATCAGAGAACCAAGCCAGGGAAAAACCGAGCCGAGCCCACCTCTGGAACTGGTCTCCAGTTAGCGTGGTCCGGTTGTGTCTAATTCGGTTCAGTTCAGTTTGCTTTTCATTTACACACCATAAGTTACCTCAGTTACTGAGCTCAGACCGGTCTCTGCACGGTTTTTCAAGGGTAGTGTAAATGGGGTATTAGGGTCTGCATGGCACAAGCACTTACCTCTGTTTCAGGAAACATTAAAGATGATTGAGTTAAAAAAGCGAATCCATTATTGATCCATTATTGATGGATTGTGGGTAAGATCTACCCAAGAGAGGCCTCTAATCTTTAGGGGTCTTTATTAAAATACTTCTGTAGTAAAACAAAAACGTGACTCATCTCAAGAAGCAGATCAGTTATTTCTTACCTCTGCGTGACCTTTTTTTTTTGTGGTTTTGAAAAGAGGAAACTGGAGGTTTCTTAACAGTCTTGTTTCTTCTGTACGCCCTAAACAGCACCGCAGTATCACAGCTGGTTTTTAAACTGCGCAGCACCAACTAACACCAACAGTGTCTTCCAATCCACGTGGCCTTTTACCAGAATTAAAGCCCAAAAGGTGTGAAGGTAAAGTGGGGAAGGTGAGAGCAGTAGCTGCGTGGTCCTGGAAACATGGTGTCTTTATGCTGCATCTGCACCTATGATTCACGGCTGTGACCGGATCTGAATTTCCCTTAAATTTGATTTTCTTGAGCATGTGTCGATTGGTCATGGAGTGTGTGGAGGATGCTGTCTATTGTTGGTTTGAAGATGATGCTGTGGTGGTTATTTCATGTGATGTAAATTATGGATTTTATTTATACAGAGTTTTTTGGACAAATTTTAAGAGAAACTGAGCAGCCAGTGTTTCCATACTTTTTTTTCTCTTCCGTTTCTCTGTGGGTATTTCTCGTCCCACCCCTCCTCTTCCTCCAGTCATGGTGAACTTCCAGTCCTGACGGCCCACATACTGGAAGAGCAGGAGCGCGCCCTGTGGGACCCAAGGTTATGAAACAGGATCTTGGATTCTGCTGTCCCTGACCGACCCACTCACAGTTCATAGCACCCTTCCAGTGACAGGATATACGTTTGGCTTTTCTTACCAGCATTTCATTCTGTTTGGTGGTTTGATTCATCCAAGACTGAAGTACTGGCAGTTTGTTTTTCTTGCCCTCCAAGCTGTGAAGTGAAACGTCAACCAGATGTTGCTGAATGCACCTTGTTCTAAAAGCCCTCTGCAAAAGTCCAAACTTCAGATCAACACAGACATAGAGCTTTTCACAGTCTTTTTTAAAATCTTCAGTTTAGCTTAAATTGCCCATAAAGATATTCAAGATGAAATGGAGTAAGAAAATTAAGTTAAATCTTGATTAATCATTAAAGACATTGATTTTGCTTTTTTATCTAAGCAAACGGCTCAGAAGTCCCAACAAAATAGACCAATGTGACCTTTTTGGTCCACATTTACAGGATGGGCACAAGGTAAACAAGGGGATGGGTTAAATACAGGTACATTGCTCACATGTTAGATCAGTAAAGTTCAGTTATTATTATTATTATTTTCATGGTATAATCCTTCTAATCAGACTGCTGGGTTTCCAGGCACAGACTGAGCCGCATATCATCCAGATGTTTAATCACTGCTTGCTTTATCTGCTCTAAAACTCGCTTTGATATGTGTTTAAGATCCTTGTCCTGTTTAGGGTTGTGAGATTTTTTATTTATTTTTTTACTTTTTCTCTTTTGGGAAAATTAAACTACTTAATGAACATCCCGGGACTGGTTTGTTTTTGCCAGGAGACTCACATATTGTTGTCTATTGTTGCAGAACTCTACTGCTGCTTTCTTCTATTTCGCATGTATGGATCCGCGCACGAGTTACAATCGTCTGGATTGGTTAAATCAAACATTTGGTATCATTTTTTTATTTTTTTTTGTCCGTATTTATGGTTGCGTGCTGCAGAGTGGCTAGTGCTTCTGCCTTGCAGCAAGAAGGTTCCGGGTTCGATTCTCAGTCTGGGGTCTTTCTGCATGGAGTTTGCATATTCTCCCTCAGCATGCGTGGGTTCTCTCCGGGTACTCCAGCTTCCTCCAACAGTCCAAAAACATGACTGTTAGGTTAATTGGCTTCTCTATATTCTCCTAAGATGTGAGTGTGTGAATGGTTGTTTGTCCTGTTCTGCTCTGTGTTGCCCTGCAATCAGTGTCAAGATACCTAAAAAGTGTACTTAAGTACACGTTACTCGTTGAAAAATAAGTTACTCTTGGCTTCGGTTTAATGTTTATAAATATTTATTTCATGTCATGTGCGCCATCCAATGCAGATCATTATCACCATCCATATCTAGTGAAAGCTATTGTAATTGGATGAGTCATATAACGCAAACACTCATTGGTTAGCTAAAAGAAATCATCAGAAGCAAGCAGGTGTTCTTCAAACAGCAAACGTGAATTGTCTATGTTATGCTACAATGTTTGATTCAGAAAAAGATGTTGAAATGTCTGAAAGGTCGGACACAGGCGAGAGCGTATTGACAGATGGAGACAGAGACCAACAAGACCTCCCTCATCCTTGGCCTTATCTCAATTAATTTTTCGAAATCATAAAATTTAGCTTTCAATTCATATAGTGGCATCTGGCAGTTTTTTTTTTAAAGGTTACTTTATACTTTTATACTTTAAGTAGTTTTTGGAGTACATAATTTTTCACTTTTACTTGAGTAAAGAGGTCAAGTTGATACTTCAACTTTTCCCAGAGTGTTTTTAAACTGCAGTATCTATACTTCTACTTACCGTAAGTAACAAATGTGTGTACTTTTAACAGTACTTTTGGACTGGCGACCTGTCCAAGGTGTACCCCGCCTCTCGAGCTGGACATAGGCACCAGCACCCCTCGCAACCCCAGCAGGGATAAGCGTGACAGAAAACGAATGGATGGATTTATTGTTGCCTCAAAACAAAACTATCAAACTCTACATATCAATATCCAGGAAAATATTCTGTAACTTTCAAAACTGTGGGATTAAAAAAAGTCAAATAAAGGCATTAAAATATTTATCAACAAGAAAATATCAACCTTTTCAATCTTAACAATAAGCATGCATTCTTAACAGAATCAGAGTCTTTTCTGGTTAAATAATTGTCAAATAATTAACCCAATCAGACAATTTCAGAATATTTTCAGGTTGTTTGAGGTATTATTTGTTTTATAGTCCAAATAATCTAGAAATCCAAAATGAGCAATAACAAAATGATGCAAACTCTTTTATTTTTATATCCATGCCATGCTAAATTTGTTTTGTATCCAGATACAGTGTTTGAGAATCACTGCTTTTGACAATGGTGTTTAAAATTTATGAAAACTGCAAAAATTCAAAATAGAATTCTCAATTTAAAAAACAGTTTTTACACTTGAGTGATGTTTTTGAGAAAGATTTATGTTGGAAAAGGATTGAAAATGTTCTGTAATAGTGAACATTTACCTCCCACTTTTAAAACTGCATTTCCTTTTCTAAGCCTCTGCTCTGTGCTAACATGCTCATCCTAGTCGGCATTACAGAACCACTGCAACTTACCCGATTTGACCACACATTCCTGAAAACCTCTCTCCTTTATTCTCCGATTTGTGGTCCATGCCAGTTTGCAACCTCTACTTCCTGTTTATCACAGCATCCCTGCCTTTAGCATTCACTGGTGAAACACGGAGGCTGACACAGACTGCAGTTTGGTGTCAGAGTTAAGTGGAAACCTGAAGTCTGCACTCGTTTCCTCAGCCAGGTTAGATGAATGAGGTTTCAATTTGAACTTGGAGAGGCTTCATATTAAGAGCTAGTTTTCCCTGTTGGAGATGCTCATTCATACGCGGTTCATTGTTTGAGTCATCTCATTAAGTCAAGCCGCTTACAAGTTAGCTGGGTTTCCTAAAGAGTAGTGCCAATGCAATATGGCTGCCAGCATCTCTTTTTTGTTTTTTATTTTTCCTTTTTGTTGTTCAGAATTACGTTCAGTGTTCTGGCCTTTTGCAGATCCTCTGTCACGTCTGTGTTATTTAATCTAGAGGCCCTTTCTGCATGGTTGGGTAGATTGGAAGAGATGTGAAGGTGCAGTTTCCTTCAGTCCGTGAAGATACTCCAAAAAAGTGAAAAGCTCAGGCTTCAGAGCTGCTGCCTTGAATATTAACTCCGCAGAAAATGGGTCAATCAGCCTTTTCTAAAAAATCTCTGATGCCTTTTATTCCCAAAGCATTGCTAGAAAAGTTGATGGAGGATGTCAACTTTTTTGTGAAATACTGCATTAGAAATCTGTCAGCTGATTTTTAATTTTTTTTTTTTTTTTTATCTCCCTTCCTTGCAGGCTGTCAGCATCAACAAGGCTATCAACACACAGGAGGTCGCTGTCAAAGAGAAACATGCCAGGAATATCCTTATATCATTACTCTGTGTATATGTGGAGATTGGTAAAGAGGAGCTGTGTTTGTTTCTATGTGCAGAGGGTTACATTAGTGCAAAACAACAACCTCTGTGTAACCCTGTCTAGCTCATGTGGTTCTCCTGCACATCTGATTCAGTCATCAAAAACAACTCGCGCTGCATTTGACATTTATCTTTATCAATCTTGGAGAAAAGTTGTGATAATTGGAGCGTGTTGACATTTTAATGTGGTCTCCAATTAAAATGAAGGACTTTAGGCTCTTTGTGATTTAATTAGGTTTATTTATATAGATTCAGTTCGTGGCAAATCTCATCCCAAGGCAGCTTAGAAGATGAACAGATCCAGTTCATATCCAGCTATACAGAACCCCAAATTAATTCAGATCAGTTCATTCTGTCCATCCAGACAAATGTTTGAAGAAAAAACAGTTTATATCATGTCTAATTTACTTATAATCCAGTAAAATAACAAATAAATAAGTATAAATAAAATACAAACTGGTGAAAGGGTATCTGTCCAAGGCAGGGCTCTGCAGCTGTTAAATCCGCTGATTAAAAGTCATGTAGATAAATAAAGTTTTACATGACCAATAGTTCTACTGAACTTTTATGCTATTTTGAAAAAAAAAAACATTTTTATTTCTATTTTAAGTTTAAAAATAAGAAAAATGATAAGTCGAAAAAGCACATGGTTTCAAACCTAAATTCAACAAAAGATGTATGAAATTTAACGATCTGATGTTAATAGCTGTGTCGGTCCCAACAGATCTAGAATTGTAGTGTACTATTCTGGCTTCTGTTAAATTTGACCATGTCGGGGCGTAGAGATGCTGCAGTAGTTAGCGCGCACGCCCATGTACGGAGCCCTTAGTCCTCGACGTGGCCGACCCGGGTTCGAATCCAGCCTGTGGTCCTTTGCCGCGTGTCTCTCCCCCTCTCTCATACCCCCTTTCCTGTCAGCCTACTGTCCAAAAAATGAGCCACTATGCCGTAAAAACTCCAAAAAAAAAATTTATTTTGACCATGTCCATAGGGAAAGATCTATCCAGTCTATTTCTATGCATTTCGTGTAAATGTAATTTAGGTCAAAACGTTTCTCCTCTACATGCATCTGTTTTTGGTTTAATAAATCCAGTTTGAACACTTCCATATTTATTTTTTAGGATGAAATTTGTCCCGGTAGCTGATTGACTATTTTCATAAGGTCATAATATTTTCATAGTAATGTCAGGTTGCCTTTTGCTTGTGGAGAGGAGTTTATGACAACCTCTTAAAAAAACTATAACGATGATTGCATTAGTTAAAGATGGAGGATCAGAACATTTTTAATGAAAATATTACTGGTAATTTTGTGTGTTTGAAAACCCAAAGCTGCTTTTCCATTAAAGAAAACCTGCTGAAACCTGCTATGAGCAAAGGATTAGTATGAGCAGCCATCAGCTGTGACCGGCTATGTTTGGAAAGGAGGGCATTTACTGAACAACAACAAAAAATCAAATAATTATTAAAAACGGGGTGATAAACACTTTATATAAGAAATAAAACAAAGGAAGCGGATAGTATATTTTGACAGCAGTACCATCGTTTATAAAGAAGGTACACCTGATCTGGTATGGCATAAAACACCATTCTTGACCTGTGAACAAAACCTGGTCACCTAATACATTTTAACCCACAACGATAATGACTGTTTTAGAAAACAATCTGGGTCAAATATATTCTCAGGTATGAGTCAGACGTAGAACAACACGGTATGCAGATGATCCATTGGTCCTTGACTCATGCTCCCACCTTGCATCCTGGGGACCCATCATGAGAAAGGCGCCCACACGTTCTGGGCTGCCGTCAACCGGCTTCCCCTCTCCAGCAACGCCGTGCTGTGCTGGAAGTTCTGCCACGTCTTCCACAAGCTGCTGCGGGACGGACACCCCAATGTAAGCACAGAGCGCACCCAGACGTCAGGGAAAGCAGCGACGGCTCTTGTTTTACTCAGGTTTGTGTTTCCGCCTGCAGGTGATCAAGGACTCCATGAGGAACAAGGCAGATCTGGCTGATATGAGCAGGATGTGGGTAAGCAAGAACTCCGATGATTGTCTTTGTCAGGAAGTCTTTGTCATGGCCTTAAGCCATGATGGTTTTTTTAATCATGTCTGCTTATCTGTTTGATCTCTAAAACAAAACGCTTAGTGATTAAATCCATAAACCTTCAAGGAGGTCAACCCATTTTTGTAGTAATTGGAATCCACCTTTGACTTCGAGCTAGTTATTTGAATGCTTTAATCTGTTTACATTGTGTTTTATTGCTACAATAACATAAACAAAAAAACAACTATAAATTAACCATAGTTATCCTGAAAAAAAAACGTTTTAACATTACGATAATCAGTTCTAAACATTTCTTAACACATCAGGCTGCAGCACAACAGCTATAACTGATCAATGTTGCATCATTTGCCTTTTTTCTATTTTTAACATTAGACGTTTGTAAAAGAAAAAAAATAACCCAAAACGCTTTAGAAGCTAGAATAATATATTTAGAATCCAGCTGCTTGTAGTGGGAACTGAAACCGGCCAGCGACTCTATAGATTAGGTTTCATAAAAGCGTGTACATGGACGTGCATTCATTCTGTACAACGAGGTATTAAACTCCAGGCTCCCTGCAGCTTTTCGATCTTTCTCTGCTTTTATCAAACCTGGTTCAGGTGATTGACGTTCAGCTAAAGCCTTTTAATGAGCCATTATTGGAAATCAGTTGTGCTGAGCGGGGACAATTCTTTAACGTGCAGGGCACCCCCCTATGAATAACCCAGCTCTACTAAATCACAGTATAACTGTATGTAGAGACAGCCTAGTCAAAGTCCAGATTTGAATCTGTTGGAAAAAATCTTCTGCAAGGCTGGACAGTGTGTGCTGCTTACTCCATCTGCCTGAGCTTCAGTTAGAAATCTGCGAGTGTTTGAATGTGCAGAGTTTGTAGATGAAAGACATGGAGCCGTAGAAAGAGGGCATCCAGTCAGAGGGCTGAACTCATTGCACAAAGATTATGATTGCAAGGCGCTGCTAATGAAGAGAGCTGATTACATTCTCTAGTTAATGTTTATCCGCCTCCATCAGCAGTGTGAAAGACAAGAAGATGCTAATTATAAATATCAGAGCATCCCCACTTTGTGCTTTACACATTAACAGTTACAGACGTGGAGTTTCTGCACTTTCGGCCGAGCCATCAGAGCTGAAGCATTAAATATTATTTGTGTAGATGACGGGTTTACTTCCTAATAATGTTTGCAATCATCTAACAGTCCTTTCAGAGCGCTGACCATATTAATTTCTGCTGATGTCACCAGGCAGCAGCAGGATACAGGAAGTTTGGTTGCTCTGACCAAAGGCTGCGGCGTCATGTTTCCGGTTGTTTCACTCTCACACTCTCCGGGACAGAAAGAAAGAAAAGAGGGAAGTGGCGAGTTTGCCGTTTCTCAGGCCGTCCAGTTCTGGCAAAAATGTCCACGTTGTTTAAATATTTTAGAGAACATAAACAAAGACATGTTTCATGTCAAGCTAACAATAAAAATGCTCATGTATGCCTTTAATCATTCACTTTTTATCCATATCTTCCCCCCTCAGGGTCATCTGAGCGAAGGATACGGGAAGCTGTGCAGCATCTACCTCAAGCTGCTCATCACTAAAATGGAATTTCACATTAAAGTGAGTCGACTGGTTAATTATCTCCCAAAACCCTTCATTCCTGAGTTTTATGTAGATGTTGTCATATCCATTTTATACAGGGGGGCTGCAGGTTTTGTGCAGAATCATTTCTGTGGACTAAAGCATAACCTGAGACTTTAATTTCTATAACTAAATAATTAACAAAGGGATGAGAAGCATCCTAAAATATTAATCACTATGCATCATCCATAGAAATGATGGTTATGAGCGTGATCTGTTTTTTATTTTCCATCATCGTCGTGAGCCTTCTGCTCAGCCTTCCTGTTATCTGCTAAAAGTCTCACTCTCTTGCAGCCAGAAAAGTCCACTTTTTACAGTTTTTTTTTTTTTTCTACCGTATTGTGTTAAACTAGAGCAGTTTTAAACTCATAAAGTTACATAAAGTTTAGAGATCATCAAAGCTATTTAAAAGGTTTGGTTTAAGCCTAAAGCTCGGTTCTGTCTGGTTCTGTTTCAGAACCCCCGTTTCCCGGGCAATCTGCAGATGTCCAACAGGCAGCTCGATGAGGCGGGAGAGAACGACGTCAACAATTTGTGAGTGCGGGGTCTTCAGGTTCATTTGTCAGCAGGAATTATTCATAATGATCGTTGTGTGTTCTAAAGAAAGGAAGAAAACTAGTCCCTCTAATATATAACCAAAAAGCTGCAATAAAACCGATCATTTAGATCCGCATTAGACAACAGTGTCAGACCTTTTTTTTGATTCTTCAAAGTCGCTGTTTCTGTGCGTAAAGTGTTTCTGCTTTAACAGCCTGTAAACGGTTGAATTTCCCATGATTCCCAGAGGGCTTCTGTGAAAAGGAAAGCAGTGTTTAGAAAGTGACTTGGTTCTACATGTCAGGTACATCAGCTGTTTCTGTGGCCATGCTCCACTTCTACACCGTTTCCACTCATTTGACCTCAACTATTTTTGCTTTTTGTGGCCACTAACAAAAATAAATGCAGCAAGAGTGACATAAATCCTTCCCCAATCAGGCGCCTGCAGAAATGAAGCTTATTTTCTACATGCAGTGTTAGCTGTTAGAGAGCTAATCGTAGCAGATGGTCTATATCATTATCACTTTAACATGGAATAGGAATTACTTTTCCTCATTGATGCCAAGTACAAATGGGACTGTTTAGAATAAATCTATACCTGGATTATAATGGATTAGATTTTAAAGAATCCCATTTATACTTACAATAACATAAATTAGCAATCCTCAACATCTGTCTGGATTGTCTTTTCATTTTGCCACACATTAATGCTAATTCTGCTTTAAATTATGTTGTTAAACTTTCTAATTGTTCCCGCAAAAAAAAAAAAAAAAGTGACTTCTAAAGAAAATGGAGAGGCTTCTACTTCACACTGATTCTCATTAACATTTAGAAAACTTTTTTTTTTTTTTTTCTCGGCTGTTGATCGACTTCATTGATCTGTGAATCTGTGATTAAAGCAAACAGAAAAACCAAACCATTATTGTTGTTAGTGAAAAGGTTTGTGCACATTTCGGCAGGCATGTTGGCCCACTCCTCCCTGCAGACAGCCTCCAAATCATTCAGGTTCCAAGGGTGTCTCCTGGCAACTCGAAGTTTAAGCTCCCTCCAAAGATTTTCAATTGAATTCAGGTCTGTAGACTGGCTAGACCACTCCAGAACCTTGATTTGCTTCTTCTTCAGCCACTCTTTTGTTGCTTTGGCAGTGTGCTTTGGGTCGTTGTCGTGTTGAAACACCCATCCTCGACCCATCTTCAGCTCTCTCACTGAGGGAAGGAGATGTTGGTCCAGAATTCCACGATACATGGCCCCGTCCATCCTCCCCTCAATACGAGGGAGTTGTCCCGTCTCCTTGGCTGAAAAGCCCCCCAAAGCTTGATGTTGCCACCACCATGCTTGACAGTGGGGATGGTGTTCTTTGGGTTGTACTCTGTGTTCTTTGCCCTCCAAACACGACGAGTTGAGTTGAGGCCAAAAAGTTCTATTTTGGCCTCATCTGACCACATCACCTACTTCCAGGCCTCTTCTGAGTCGTCCAGGTGGTGAATGGCGAACTTCATGCGGGCCTGTACATGTTTCTTCTTGAGCAGGGGGACCTTGCGTGCGCTGCAGGATTTCAATCCACGACGGCGTAGTGTGTTACCAACCGTTTCTTTTGTAACTTTGGTCCCAGCTGCCTTCAGTTGATTCATCAGTTCCCCTCCTTGTGGTTTTGGGATGATTCCTCACCGTTCGCATGATCAGGGACACCCCACGAGGCGAGATCCTGTGTGGAGGCCCAGACCGAGGGAGGTTGGCGGTGGTGCGGTGCTTCTTCCATTTCCTGATAACTGCACCGACAGTTGATCTTTTCTCTCCAAGTTGCTTTCCGGTCCTCTTGTAGCCCATCCCAGCCTTGTGCAGATCAACAATCTTGTCCCTGATGTCCGTAGAAAGCTCTTTGGTCTTGCCCATGGTGGTGATGTTGGATGCTGGTTGTTTGGGTGTTGACAGGTGCCTTTTATACAGGTAACGAGGTGAGGCAGGTGTATTTGATGTAGATAATTGGTTGGGATTGGGGCTGTGTCTTAAAGAAAGACTAACTGGCTTGTAGGAGCTAGAATACTTGCTGTTTGGTAGGAGGTCAAATACTTGTTTTTCCTCATCAGATGGTTATCAATTTTTATAAATTCATATGATGTGAATTTTTTGAATTTTCTTTGGGATTCTGTCTCTCACTGTTAGAATGTACATATGATTAAAATTGTAGATTGTTGCATTCTTTGTAAGTGGGCAAACCTGCAAAATCAGCAAGGGGTCAAATACTTATTTCCCCCACTGTATGTATTCGGGCCCAATCTAAAAAAAACGGCGTTCCCCTTTTACTATTTGAGCTGATGTAATAAGTAAATTCCTCCACTGTGAGTCAATCAATCAATAAAATCCCTTTATTGTTCCACAATGGGAAATTGTGATATTACAGCAGCAAGTATTAGAAATCACCTGTTCTTTGGAAAGAATTATAAATCTCTTAATTCATTGCTTATTAAAATCTCCCTAAATAATTCAATCGCAAAATTCAGTTTGGAAGAAGATAAACGTGACTAGCAAAAGACAACGAGTTCAGACCTTTTGTCCAGCTGTTTTTTTTCTCTTTCACTGTCATGTTTCTCTGCTGCTAACAGATCTGTGTGTTCAGGCAGTAAACGAGGGATCAATTGTGACCTTTCTCACCCTCAGCTTCCAGCTCACGGTGGAGATGTTCGACTACCTGGAGTGTGAGCTCAACCTCTTCCTCGGCGGTGAGTGCTTTGGCTCTCTATAGAGCTAGATGTGTCTATGTTGGGTGCACACACGCACACAGACAGATAATTGAACTCTGACAGACAGGAAGTAGAGAGTCTGGCTGCTCGCTGCACTGTACACAATGGAGAATGAAAACAGACATATATAGAGCGGTGAAAACACCTCTCAGCTGGGCTACAGCCGGTTTTTGTCTAGCTGAGTCACCTGAGGTTAAAGTCTGCAGAAGCAGGTTAAATATAGACTGTAATGATCGGACTGGGAGCTCAGGAGAAATTTAGCTTCCAGTCATAAAAGCTGAGGAGGAAATTACATTCTGCTTTTTATTTATCATGCAGCTTATTACGTGCCTTCATGATATTATGAAGCCGTCTCCATTCTTTTTGGTCAGTCGTCTGGCTTGGATCTGGCTTTTTTTAGAGGTTCGGCTTATTTGATCAGAAAAACTGTTAAATATTTAAATGCAAGTGACAGGATTAATTTCCATTTTGGAATAGTTGTGAATTTCTTAACCCTTTAAAGCCCGATCCAACAATAAAACAAAACAGAAAATTACTTTTTTTTTTATTTGAAGTCCTTATTTGGCCTTTTAACAAAATATGTAAAAAGAAAAAACAGAAATACCTTTTTGATATTAATAATTTATTACTATGCGATA